TTTAAAATATTTAAAAAAAAATTCAAACATTTATAAAAATAATTTTTTTTATTAATTTAATATATAAATATTTATAGTTCTTCAGAATCACCTTCTTTATTTCCCTTTAAAAAACAACGCTAACCAAATTCAAGAACACAACACTTATAAATCTCAATAGCAAAAAAAAAAAAAAATGCAATAGTAGCATGACAACCAAAAAACACAAACCCCATTGGAATATATTTGTTTTGGTCATTGCTTTCAAAGAATAATCAATTGAATGTATCTAAATAAATGAGAAAATCAAGTAAAATTTTTACTTGGAATGGAAAGAAAACTAAAAAGCATAAATAAGTAAACAACTTACCTTGAAGTATTTAAAGAGAAAAGTTGGTGACAAAAAGAGCACTTGCCGGACTCATAGGAGAAAAAAAAAAAAGGCTGAGTGGATGCAACGATGACTCGATAAGACTAAAATTTAAGTATGAAATAATGTTAAAGACTAAAGAGAAAAGGTGGAGTCAAAGCTTGAAAGTCAAAGGCTGTATGAACTATGGAAGTTAAAGAATATGAGAAGAGTTTGAAGTTTGAAGAGTTAGAGTCTTTGAGAGTATTAGGTCAAGTAAAAATAGGAAAGGTCGGAAGGTGAGTTATGAGTGGAGTGAGATTATTTTTACTTCTAGAAAATGATGAGTCAAGAGAATCAATTAGTTAATTAGGGAATATTAGTCAATTATTAAAGGTTTTGGTGGGATTGGAAATTGAAAATTGGAAAACAAAATAAATAACTAATAAATTAAAATTTTGTATATTTTAAACGGATAAACGGGTCAAACCCGTTAACCCGATGGATCAACCCGTTATTGACCCGTTGGGTTCTCTTAATGGATTATTAACGGGTCACGGGTCATAAATATATGACCCTAACCCGTTTTAAACTGGCGGGTAATGGACGGGTTAATGGGTTGGGTAAAAAATTGTCAGGTCTAGGTAGAAGGAATGATTAAAAATAAATAATATAGTACGGGCTAAGGGAAGAAAAAATAATAATAAATAAATTATTAATATAAAAAGAGAAAATAATAGTAAATATAAATAAATAAATAAGGAAATGAAGAAAGAAAG